TTGACTTGGATTTTTAATAGACAGTACTGAGATTTGGAAAGATCAAGTGATCCATCCAGCATTAGTCAATATGTGAAAGACCCCTAAAGAAAACAGATTTTCTCAACACTTCCCTAACAACTGACATTAAAATCAGGGAAACAAAAATAGATTAATATTAAAGTTAAAATATCCAAGACACAATATCTTAAATAAACCTCATTTCAAATTTCCAAGGCAAATTGAGAGAACATCACACTGACCTATGATGACTATTGAGTATCCTGGGATCATCATTAAAGCTCAGTATTTTTGTGCTAAGATTAAAATACTAATAAAAAAATCCTTTGAAGCTGGTTATTATACATATTTTAAAAATCCATGTCCTAATGATAACAGAAGACTGAAACAAAGCTTTCTTTCCTATTTCTTCCTCTACCTCCCACAAGTAGTTGTATGTCAAATGTGAGTTCATCAACCCTTTAAAAGCTATCAGTATGCTTTATGGACTGCCTTTATTTTCAGATTCTACCTTTCTGTGAGGAATGAAAAGATGAAACTTCTGCAAGCAATTTTGCATCAGGGATAGGGTGGTTCTTTAAAGTCAGAGAGGGAGATCGGGTGCATCGATCATTATAATATCAATTCATCTCCCAATCTCTAGTTATATGTGTACTATTATATATATCACTTGCAAGCTATAGACTTTGCCTAAAATAAAGAGGCAATATGAGCCAAAAGCACAAATTCCAAATATCAAGATTTTAATAGCCATATGCTTGTGCTGTACCTGCTGAGTACAGGCAGTTCCAAGAACACTGGCTCAGTCCCATCATGTGAAAAGGTTGAAAAGTATTATTTATTACAGACATTGCAGCAAGAAGATGAGATAGAAATGCTCAAACAAAAAAAGCAAACCTGAGAATTGAATGAACAAAATCTATACCTATCTGCACTCCACAAAATTTGTATCACATTGTACTAAATGATAAAAGAAGATTTTCAGGTGCAATAACAAAGCAGCCAAATTGAAGGTATAATTGTAAAAAATATAAATACCATGGCAAAAAATAGTGCTTTTAAAAAAGCAAAAATAAAAGGTTTATATAGTAAGTTAATGACTCAAAGTCTGCTAGGATAAATCCTATTTTATTGCTAAGCTTAAGCCTATCCAAATTGTAAGGCAAGGAAAAAGGCCTCCTAGCCATTACTCTCCTGACTCACTAATAAGTGTGAACGTGTGTTTTGGCCCTTTTATTCTCTTAAGTCAGTAGCAAAGGTCAGCAGTGGTACCGACTTTGTGGAGACAGGGAGGACTGGAGAAGAAGACATGCAAGTGTCCTCTACAGGTATACATCAAATAGGCAAAGGAGAAATAAAATCCTAGTGTTATGTGTTTCTCCCTCTAAAATTAGAGTAACCTCAGTAAAGCAGGCAGATAAAAAGAAAAAAAATAATCTTGTAAATGAGTAAAAATATGTAAAGAGTTTAATTATAGAAATACTAGTCTATCTAAAGTCAACTGCTAAAATAATAATTAAAACTTGTACCTTTACTGGATTCTACAGAGGAAAAGTAAGCATGTTCTATATGATGTTTAGTGCACTATTTATCACTTTAGAGATTAAATTACCTCTTGAAGTGTACTTTGGAGAAGTCAAATTTATTTCCTCCTCCTGCCAGCTCCAGGGGCATCAGCAGAACATTTTCACTGCTGTAGCTATATGTCTATCAGTGTTTGGCTATAAACCAAGCTGACCAAGTTTGTGAGGGTGTAACACAGAAGCTTTTAGTCTAAAAGTATAGAAAGATTGAGTTTGTTTTACCAATAGGCAGACAGGAGGGGGGGAAAAAAGTTATTGGAAATTTTATTGCCTCTAATTCTATTGCATCTTTGGTTCCTTCTTCCTTGGGAAGTTTGCAGTGTAGGATTTTTAATGTGAATAAAGGTCCAAGGAAGTTCCACTGAAAAAATACATAAGACATTTACAAGAATAATATTGACACATGTATAACTTCCTGGAACAAAGAACTAAAGAGAAAAACACTTACAGTGAAGAGGTTTCTGTTGCACCCAAGGCAACTCAGTATAATGCAAAACATGACAGTTCTAAAGAAACTTTTCTTCCACTAGATAGGCATTTTTAGAGACTATCCTCTCCTTGAGAATGATAAAACAAGTAGTTCACGAACACTGGATTTTTCCAAAAACAATTCATCAAAAGCTGATACTGCCATACAAAAGAGTTATGACCTCATCTGAATGGAGGCAAAGTGAGTCATTAAAAGGAAGATCTAATACAAGCCAGATTTCCTGCCTAGCTTCCTCTGACCTCTGTTGGCAGAGCTATTTTCTTCTTGTATTAAAAAGCATGTCTAGAAATTGTTCAAGCTCTGTCAGGGGAACACAACTGACATGCTTGTACAGCACAAGGCTCACACGAGCTGTTCTCATCAAAGCACAGACTCGACAATTCTTTAATTGCAACGACTTATGGGGGAGTCCTCCAGCCCAGCTTAAAAATCTCACTCCAACAGCAACCCAGCATAAAGTACTGTTTAAAGCGCGCTTAATCACCTTTCTAATCTTTAACATATCATCTTCTCATGATTAAAACATTACATAAAATTGAATGATCTTAAACCTAATATGCTGCCTCATCCACACAACAGTGTGCTGTGAATTCATCTTACACCTTAACGCTGACTTTCCTGACATCCATCCAGTTAACTAAGCTCTCTCGTGCTATCATAATATACCATCTTGCAAGCAAACCCATACCTGAACGGTTATTTTCTATTGAGAGCTATCTTACACAGCCACATTTCAAAACAAACATTTACTATTGTTCTCTGATACTCTCCTGTTGGGAGTTCACGTGGCTGCCGACAGGTTTGAGATGATTGTGTTGGAACCTATTTCCATGTGACAGCCGCAGTGCAGATACTTGTGGATACCCTGGTGCTGAATGCTAATCACCACTACAGCCTGGGAACAATTGCCAGTGACGTCACTTATCACCAGAATGAACAGAAAGGCCTTAATTGCCTTATCATGTGCTTTGTGCTTCCTGCTGGAATGGCTAGAAATCACTAGAAAATATGAGAAGGGATAAAATAATCATAAACCTGTACAAGTTTCAATAGTTAATAATAAAAGCAGTTCCAAAAGTCAATTAAGGAACTCATTACTCTTCATCATATATACAGTTTTGATGCTGTTCAAAAAAGGTCTTGATTACTCATATGAAAATGGAATTGAACACAGATTATGAATAAAATGCATTAAAATATGTAATTTGGGATACAGACAGGACACAAAGCATACATGTCACTTAGCCTGTGAATTTAGCTATATTACTTGACAATATTCTCATAGAACAACTTTCTATAAACATAAGTATTTTTAGCTTTGAAAGGTCATTTAAAGTTTATACACTACACTATAATTCTGATAACATAAAATTCATAGAACAGATGCAAAGTAGGTGCTTCTCTTATGCTAATTAACATGCTCAAATTGTATATCCGGTAAATAAAAGCATTTCTTCCTTTTTCTCTAAATAAAGATCATCAGGATATACTTAAAAAAAAGTGTGAAAGAAAAATAATAAGAACCCTTTAAAAAACAATCTCTGCACTCATTTTCAAAACCTTCTAATTAAAATAAACAAAATACTAAAATTAAGAGAGAATAAAAGCTGAACAGAGATCGTAAAACATCCCTACGTGTTGGCAAAGATTTCATCTTTGTCATTTAATGATGATGAAGCCAAGTAACTGTTGCTGGAATGGAAGCAGGCTGATGAAGAAGGCTTTTAAGTCTTGAAGTCAAGGATATCACAACCTATATTTTTCTTAGTAGTGCCTCTATCTATACAATTTCTTTCTAAATTTCATTACTTTCTGTATTTGACACTCCCTTCAATAAATGTCATGTGTTGATCAAAAGTATAATGCTTTAATACGCTTCCGTTCATGTGAAATTGTTTGTTCAAATACCAGCAAGTTCTAAGCAGTTCAAAAAGAATCAGAGATTCAGTAATTAATAACAGTGTTAGCTTTCAGGGGAAATTAGCTTGTGAAGTAAACTTTTCTCATATTTGATGTTATTTATTCAAGATCTGATACCAACATTCAGCTGTGGGAACAGACTGTGGGAACTCAGCATATACTAAATACTTACATTATTCAAACACAAAAGTACATTAAGTTTAACAGCACATCAAAAATAAATAAGGTATTTTTAAGCATGAATAAGTTCTAAAAAGCATGGTATGTAGCAATTTTTTACGATTTTTATAGGGAAGACGAAGATAATATGATAATTTGTGGACACAATCAACTGGACATGGACTTTTCCAGTTAAAATAAAAAAAAAAATCAGTAGAATTAACATGCTGCTAAATGGACAGTTTATGCATTTAAAAATGTGATATAAATTAAACTTAGATGTGTTTAGCATGTTTTTAGAGAGACTTAATTTTACTTAACTCTTCATCATTAAATTTTCATTTAAAATATTTAAATTTAAATAATGTTACTGTCCACAAACACATTTAAAAATTCTGCAATTAACAAATCTGTTTGCCATTGCTGGGTTGAATTCCAGCTATTTAAGCATGGGTTTAGGGGTAATTCTATTATAATTTAAAACTGATCCAGGAAGTAAATACGTGTGTGCATATATACACAAACATATATAAACCAAGAATTACTCTGTCTACAAACACACCAGTTTTGTATCCTTGCAATTTATCAAATGGAAAAAAAAAGCAACCCAACTATTTTAAAAGATACTTTGCTTTCATCAGAGATTTTAACGAAGCCCACCAAAACAAATTAAAAGAAGCAATATTTTCCATTTACTTTACCAATTTCTAACAAGAGTTAGATATCTATGGTTATGGGTGTATATATGTGAATGAACGAATAAATCCTTAACCCACCATATCTTTTTCTCCAGTTTGCAAGCTGTCACCCGTGAAAAGTATGGTGTAGATGGTAGGATGATACTGTACCTGATTGGCTCTGGAGGTGGTCATGGGATCAGATGGAGAGGACTTGGTGGTAGTTGGGGAAGATGGCAATGTCTGGGAACAAAGCAGTTCAGGAGCAAATCAACCTTTACAAGCCTTAGACTGAACAGTTAAAAAAATAAATAAACCAACAAAATAACATAACTAGAAAATTAAAAGAAATAAAAAATGCCTAAGACAAAAATCTTTCTCCTACTCATTGGAACTTAATGGAATTTAAAGTCAATTGGATAAATAATGCATGTAAATATGCATGCTTATGCATGTAAAAACAAATTCATGACTTGAAATCAAGATGGTGAACTCACATAAATACTCAAAAATATGCTGACCACATGAGGAATATATTCTTTCCTCTCTCATCCTCTTGGGGAAAATGAAGACTATAAGTAAACAAAAATTCCAGCAAGTTCAATGAGCACACTAGAAACAGTTATCAGTCTATGAACAAACAGGGCCAATGTCTGCAAGAAGCTAAGACATTTACTCTGGCACTTGATAAAGCACCATTCTACAATAAGACTTAGAGCCAGCAAACTGTGTTCCATACCTTACAACAGTTACGCTGAAGCTACCGAGTTTCTGGCAATATTCTAACTGCTAAAATATTCATTGATCTTTTTTAATCTAGAAGCAGGTGAAAAAATGTAAGCATCAATCTCATGATGGATGAACATGCAACTAATACCTTCAAAACAAATAACTACAAAATATTTATGACTAGTGTTAAAAACGTTCATTTAGTTGAGCAAAGGTCAATAGCTTATTATAGTTCTGTGTTCAAAATAAACACAAAAAAGAATTAAGAGTCATATTTATTGATAATCTTTTCTAAATAATATACATATGCTTAACATTAATTCTGGAACATATTAAAAAAGCACTGCTCTGTTTAAAAATTTCATATACACATTTCTCCTTTAAAAGTATTAGATCGTGACAGAAAAACTCTTCTATTCTTTTTATAAATGTCGTAAAAAAGTAAAATTCCAATTTTCAAAACATAACATACAATACTTATTCAAAGCATGTTTGTGACATCTTTGCAATATATAAATATTATAAAATATCAAAAATTACACTATTTTTATGTCAAGAAATAAGTGTTAAAGTGCTATACAGTGGAATTTATCATATGCTAATATAGTTACTAACCAAAACTATTTAGAAATAAATAAAGCAAAATTTCACACTTTCAGCAGTTCTGTTACTTACAATCATTGACAGTCCCTCATAAAATAGGTATACATACTTTTGCACTAAAACTCTTAATGCATATGAGAAAGCTGGGACACTGTGAATGCATAAAGTTATGTATTAGCAAAATATGGGCTTGTACATATGCACACACAAATATTTTAGATGTATGTTAAACAGTATGAAGATCCATTTTTCATAGTTTGTACATAAACAGGCAGTCAAAACAGGAAAAATAAAACCTTAAGAAACAGATCCCTATTTTGCTTCCAACTTCTTACTCATTGTAAAACAATAAAAACAAATAAAGACAGTTTAAGCACCAACTGGGACTCTTTCATGATGGTTATGTATAAAATAATATCATGTATAGGACCTTATAAAAAGTATGCAGCTTGGCAAACTGCTGTTGGTCAGCAGGCACACCACATTGTAAAAATCAAGGCAATTATAAAGGATTCTCCCATGTCTTTATGTACCAAACATGGGACCATCATGAGGGGTCCATTTGTGAGGGGCTAGAATTATTTAGCAAAAGATGTGTCTGATTCCACAGTAGTACACAGCTAAGCTTGTTCAGATATAGAATTATACTTCTAATTTTAGTGAGATGATGCAGTATTTCTCTTACCAAAGTCTGAAATTGCAATGAACTGATTTTTATCTTTTAAGGCTAAACAGGAAAAAAATATAAAAACACAACCCAAAACAAAACAAAAAAATCCCAACCAAAAAGAATGGAAAATTGTTTATACCCCCAATCGGTTGTCTTTATTATAGCTAAGTATTAAACTTCCATCCTGAAATCCCCAAAAGAAAAAAAAAATTGCTAATATATTTTGACTAAAGTATTTCAGAAAACTGATAGTTTGTGTTATCAACACCACTGCTAACTAGCACATATGCTACTGTATGTTGTTTTGGTATGCTAGGTTGCCTATTAAAAGGAAAAATAGTTTTTTCTTCACAGTCATTATCAAACTTAACTAGTGGATTTATTGGGAAATATGTAGAACACTTCAACACTGGATAATGACAATCACTGATACCACAGATGATTTAAGAAACTGGAAACATCTCAGATTTCAATGCATAGCAATCTTCCTAAAGCACAGAAATATATGGCCACGATGAAAAAGGGAGTGGCAATAATCATTTCAGGTGACTGTTAAACTATAACGTCTACTAAGTAGAAGCATTTCATTATTTATTTTAGCAAAAGCTTGCTTAAAATACAAAAGAAAAAAACAGATTAATAAATTTAAAAGCAAAGACTGTATTAATAATCACAATCAACTATGAGAAACACCTTTTATTAAAAAAAAAAGGCTAAATACTGAAAATAATTATTTTTTGTCTCGTGGTTTTGGTGCTTTTTTCCTTTGTATATCAGGTTGTTTGTATTTGAGGCTTGATCTCTCTCTTACACTGTTTACTGACATTACTTTTAGTTTTATATATATATACGTATATACACACACATACACATATTTATATATATATATATAAAATAATTGACAGTGTTTTGTAAGAATTAATCTCTTTTTAAGCTTCCATATAATTCTGAAGATACACCTATTTATTTCTCTCATATCAAAATAACACAAAGTGATTTTTCAAACATTAAAAAGTCTCCACCAGAAACAGGCATTTGGAGTTTGTATTGAATTTTCACTGGCTGAGAAGTATTACACTGTCTCAATTGCTTTGCAAAAACTTTTCAGCAAAATTGCTTCGTAAAGAAAGTTAGATAGAACTCAATATTCTGACTTATTATGCAGCATAGAATGTTTTGAGGTTTTGCTTTTAAATTGGCAAATCTTGTGCATTAAGCAAGCAGTCAAATTTAGTAGTTAGTTTTCTGACAATGAGATGTATAAACAGGTTAGAAATTGTAAGGTGAATTTACATTACGAGTTTCAATTTTTGAGTCTGCTACTTCCATACAGTAATTGAGGATTTCCTGAAATTGCAGGTTGGCTACTGACAATGTTATAAAACAAAGAAGTTAGAATTTCTACCACACACCACTTCCAAAACTTGCAGAGTTTATTTTAAGGTGTTTCTTAAACAGTATAATCTAAGTCATGATGAAATTAAACTTCCCTGCTTTCTTAAATACTATTACCTTTCCTACTAGTTATGAGACAATTAATGAGTTACAGGTTACAGTGTGTTTGTTCCAACTTTACCCTTGTAGAACATGTATTTGAGAAAACAGATTTTAAGTACTTAAAAAGGAGCCTAATTTTAGAAATAAAATTCTATTTTAGTCATATTTGAGTTGTAGCACCTTCTGAAACTACTTTTTTGTGCTCAAGCACTGATTATACTGAGACTTTTCTCAGGGAGCACAATACACCAAAGGGTGTTCAGAAATATGGTCAAATCATCACACTTCCATTCTTGATATTTTTTGATTAACAGAGTGAAGATATAGCTGTACCATCGCAATATAGATTATATGCAGTCCATCTGCATGGTGTTTCAAAAGGTCTGAGTACTCTTTTGATTACTATGATACCCTTATATACATATTTACACTAAAGAAATTTCAATACTTACACCATGGGTAATAAATAATAAAACTGTACTGAGACAATTAACTTAACTCTCAGTACTTACTAGTATATTTATATATTTTGGACTAGAAAGAAAAGGCAGAAAATGAAATATTATTTGAAACAGGGTTACAGACATGAAAGCATAGAAAAAATATAATTTAAATGTGAAGGTGAGACTGTATTTACAGCTTACCATTTTCTAGTTTCTCACTACAGAGCTTGCCAAACAAAGGAGATCTTGGTAATAACATGACCTTCAATAAATAACTATTAAGACTAACCTAATACTGAGCTTCAGTCCTGCACATATTAATATTGGTGCTTTTAATCACTGAAATTACTGTGATAAAACTAATTTGCTTAAGTCAATATTTTAATGCACTTCAGGAAAAGGTGTTATCTTTGAAAATAAATGTATTAAATATCTTAAGACCTTCTGCAGTTAAAATGAAATAGAGAACTGCAAGGCCCCACTGTTCTGAACAACCTACAAGACTGACTTACTAGGCTTTCAACAATATCAGAGATAAACCTTTCTTAACAGACTCCTGCTTTGCTAAACAGAGAGTCGTCTTCACATCTGCTGTGGTCTCCTTTAATCTGTAACTCTGCCAAAAGATTCTTATCTTGGAGATGACTGTATGAATATATGACACATTTCAAAAAAATATCATATGGATAAAGGATTAATAACTTGCTTACAATTCAGACTGTAAAAAGGCTACTTTGATGACTTCAGTGATCTATTTTTTTCTTCCTACCTTTTCATTTCTGTAAAGAACAAATAAATTTTGATTATATTTCAGTCTCTTTGCATTTGGTTTTGCTTTTGAGTGGAAGAAGAGAGAGGGCATAGGGAAATACAGAGAGACTAAGAGGTAACTCATCTGTATTTATGAACTCTTGGGAACCTGACTTTGAGAAAGGAAATAAGTATGGTTAAACATGACCGAGAAGAAAGATTATCTCATGTTTTGTCCAAGACAAGATGGGATAAGAAGCCTGAAGCAAACCACCAGGTTCCATTTGGATCACCAGAGCAACTCTGGATGAAAGGAACAATTTAGAATTACTGTTACATCAAAAGGGACAAAAAAGAACGAGGACCTCCTCCTTCATCAAAACTTGGCACAGCAACACAGAACTACTACGAGATCTGGTGCTGTTACATAGAAATAACAGTAAACTGAAGTAGGTAACTAGGTGTTGTGATAAGGCACAAAATGATGACACAGACACTGCTGCTCTCGAGGGGAACAAAAAAGAAAGACTTTATTTTCTGACTCCAACTCC